TCTCTCTCTCTCTCTCTCTCTCTCTCTCGGTCATTCAACACGTGTGTGTGTGTGATAAATCATGACCTTGTCGTATACCCACGTGTTAGTCTTTTTACTCATTTTTAAGGTGTTTGTGAGGTTCACTCTTGGGCAGAGGAAGTTTTTACCTGCTTTTTGTTTTTGTTGTCGTTGTTGTTGTTTTTATACAATGTGGTTGTTTTGTCACTAGATGTTGCAGTTGTCCGTCCTTGCCATTGCTGCTATTGTTATTATTTTTGTTGCTGTTCTCACTGTTGCTAATGGCAATGTGTTGTTCTAATGGTTTGTGATAGTCATTTTATTGTTGCATGTCGTGTTAATGTGGTTGCTGTTGCTGTTGTTGATGTTTTCGTTGACATTGTTTGTTTCTTTTATTAGTCGTTAGTTTTTGGGTTTCTTGGGATTTGTTTAGCAGCGGAGGAAGGGGTGAGGGCTGCAAAAAATACAAATGTATAGTAATTCTTCGACACTCCCAGAAACATAGAGCTTGATGGATTACAGACTAGATGACCGCACCAGGGAGAAAGTGTAGACCACAGACAAACACATGGAACACAAAACATGTAGGCTACACACAAAAATCTTATATAAGCTGCCTGGCTCTATTCAATTCAAACGCTGAACCTTCATGAAACCAGCTCTCAGCCCACCCCCAGGTATGACGTCGTTACCCTGAAGTCTCATTTATGTAAGTTTACTCTTGTTCGATTTGGCCCACATCATATCACATAAAATACTCATTTGATAAGTAAAGTTTCCATAATGAATAAGTACCTCTTGTCAAAGGTCAAACATTGCATATTTCTGTCACTGGGATAAGTCAGGCTGGGAGGGGTTAACAATTCCCGTTGATGGACAAAGTGAGAACAATAGAAAATAAAGTGAAATTCATCTTCAATTTCATGAGAGTTACACCTCTCACATAAGGGCGAATTAGTTAATTTCCACTGATAGAGATTGTTATTTAATGGTAGGCTATGGGTTTTTAACAAAGCTATGACTCTTCTGCTCCAATACCGTGGGAGGTTGGTCATATATTCAGCTGTTTCTTGAAACGGAATTGTAAGAGAGATAACATTATACTTGAGACTGACTGCTTCCTCTATGTTCTGCACAGAATGGTCAACAAGTCTACATTTTACTTCACTGAGAAAGAGTCTAGTACTTCCAACATTTTGAGAAAACCAGGCATATCCAAAACCCAGTCGATTTGGCATAGTTTGTATAAAGGCAACAACTTTTATAAAAATGAAAAGAATAGGATTCGGCGGGCACCCGGGTAAAATTCAAAATTATTTCCTACATAACTGAAAATGCTAAACGTGTCCCGCGCGCTCGATTATACCTTTTGCAATTGTGAGCTTATAATAGAACTTTATGCTGAAACCTTAAGCGTCCTAGGCAGTTTTTTATCTGAACTAGTGGCCCGCAGTCTTTGTAGGATTCGATTTATTAAAGAAAACTAGCAATACATGTGTGGATTTTAGGTCAAGTCACAACATTCTAGGCTTTGATGAGGCATTGCGCTAAGAGAATCCTAAGTCTTTTTTTCTGAATCTGTGACATCTTCTGAATAATGAAAGTCTGATAAAATATTTTGTATCCATCCGATCTTAGATATCCCACAAGCCGGATAAGTGTGCACACTCTGCTTAAGTTGAAGCCTCAGCATTGTCCATTATAAGAAAAGGGGTGCCCAAGAGAGCGTGACAGAAAGGAGGAAATTCAGTCAAGTGATGAAAAGTGATGACACGGTGGTAAATGTGTGTGTGTGTGTGTGTGTGTGTGTGTGTGTGTGTGTGTGTGTGTGTGTGTGTGTGTGTGCGTGCGTGTAAATAAATATTTTGCCTGCATGGCTCTCCGTCCGTCTCCCGTTCTCTTGCCTGGTAACTCTCTTGACCATCCGTCATACTTTCTCACGCCCCTTCTCTCTCTCTCTCTCTC